CAGAGGAATAAATGGGGACATGTGAAATAGAGGGGGTAGGAAGAAAGGAATAAAGGCACAAAACAGAAAAATGGAAATAAAGACAACAACGGTTGGACCAACTGGAAAGAGAACTGATGAGATAACATTTTACTTCAACACTGGAAAGTCACAATAAGACAAAATTTAATATAATTCAGTGTGGAAAGGAAGAGCACATTTGCATTTTAGGAACAGTGAATGGGATTTGGTCATGCAACCTAAATATACATAGTTGCCCAGATATATCCATACCAATATCCAGAGAGGTCTGCCACCAACATCCCCACTCAAAGGCTGAAGCCCATGGAACCATTGATTTTTAGTTTTGTGTCTTAAGATCATTAATAATATTAAAGGTGACAAAATCCTGTGAGCTCCCCAACTCCAGTGAGTGGGCATTTTCATTCAATGAAGGAGGGGGAGAAAAGACAGAGGAGATTTCTCCTGGTCACCATTAGTGGCCAGATATACTCTAGTGGCATAGAATGCCACTTGGCACCAGCCTGTGGCAGATATTTTAACAAATATAAATGTATTTTGCATAAGAAAGCATGCAGGCCCTTAAAGACTCAACTCCCAATCCAATACCCATCACAGAAATGCAAATCTTAGATGTGAAAAGGACAGCTCAGCATTTTACTTTGGCTGTGGTGTGGCACTCACTTTCATGCTATGCCTTCTTATTAATGAGGCTGGTTCATATATGGGAGCCACTAGGAGAAGCTTACTAAAATATGACTTTTCCTGGGACAATAAAAATCATAAGATGCCTACAGAAAGGAATGTAGAAAGACTTGATATTATAGATATGACTAAAGGCAAGGAAGGATAGTATTTAAAAGAAATAATATATGATACTGATGATGAGAAGCATAGAGGCATTTAGGAGAAACTGAGTTTCCACTTGGTTTTGTACAATCAATCTTGGTTACCTCAACAAAAATCAGATCACTACTGTGTCTCCAGCAGGTTTCGTTCACGTTTTGACCTTTATTGTGTCATGGGAAATACTTGTTGTCTGCCCATGTGACTACTACTTTGTTTGAAGGAGTTCTTAAGTCTCTACAGGGATTTTGTCTACAGATATAACCTGTATATATTTAATGGCTGTGGCTCTCCTGGGGGGTCATAGGCCTTTGGCTATCAACTGTTCCTTTCTCAGGTAGGGAGTTAGACTGTGTGACTGCCACATTGTAGCACTAACTATTTTTATACTTTCTCCAAAATCCTCCCACACCCTCTTGAAATTCCTTTGCAATCCCTACGTGGTGTAGATTTATGACTATTGTTGATTTCCTGGGTTCTCATCCTTGAGGCCTCTTTTAGTTCAGGGTTCTTGATGAGATATCTCATTCTTAGGTATTATAGACTTTGAGAAAAGATCTCAGGAAATGAATGGAAGAGGGACTTTCATCTTCTCCTATACAAAGCGTAGGGCAAATTACCTAAAAACTCTACCTTCTGATGAAGAATGCTGCTGGATACTAGATATAGGTCGGTCTTATTTTAAACTAGGTAGTCTCTTTTCTTCTGATACTCTGAGAACACTATTTCTCCAAGCACAGATGTTATTAGAAAAGTGGGGAAAAATCAATGATCAAATAAGTCTGGGAAATGCTGGATTAAATAAAATTGGAGAGTTTTCCTTCTTATATGACTTTTTAGATCCTTTGATCTGCTAAATGCTTGAGGATGCTGAAAAACAGAGTTTAAATATGCAGCACTTTCCCAAAATACTTTGCCCACCTAATCTTTGTCTCAAGACTTCCCTCCTGGGACTAATGTTCTGAAAGTTACTTTGGAAAATGCTAGTCTAGACTTATAATACTTGGATTCAGTTCCTCTCAAGGAGAAATCAAAATCATAGTAAAGGAGAAAGGGACAGGGAAGAAATGGAAAAAGAATATAATTTTGCAAGTGCCTGGCAATACTTGAATTTCCTAAGGAAAAATGAGTTTCTCTGGGCACATAGCAAAGTTTCTGACTGTTCATATTTCATCATTTTCATGTATTCTGATCTCTTAATAAAACTCAAGAGGCAACGTCAATATTTCATAACCCCTCTAGCAGAAGACACTGTGGCTCAAACCCTGGAGTTGCAGGAAGGTCAAGGCTGGAAGATTCATGGGAAGTGGGCCAGGAATCCCTGAAAAGATCTTTCCCTTTTAAGTGATCTCAGCTAACTTGGGTACATTAATTGAAACCCACCCAAATCAACCCATGATTAAGATTCTCATGCTGTCACAGGCTGACATAAGGTTGTTATTTTCTTTTAACAAAAAGTTACTACTCATACATATTAGTATATGTGACTTAACAATTACCTATAGGGCTTATAATCAATTGAGAAGGATTTTCTACTCTTTAATAACTGTTACCCTCTGGGACAGAACTTTATAATAACTGTTATTAAAGTTATTATAACAACTGTTACTAGGTCCCAAGTCTCAAGTATAGAGGAGGACATCATTTTCTAACTCTGGAACAACGTAATATAAAAGGGCATCTAGACCAAAAGATCTAGCCATTTCCATCACTGGAGTCAACCAAATACCCTACCAAGAGTTCCTTGTTTAACTCTCCTTCACTAATTGAAAGGGTATGGCAATAGAGCCTATAGCCTTCATGACTACAACTGAAAACAACAAAATTATCTTCCTGGTCAAGGGAGTTTCACCTTTACCATGAAAGCCACTGCAGAGTCAGTTCCTAAACCATAGGAGCCCTACGTAAGTTATAATTACCTTCAATCCATCTTGCTCTTATTGTCATGACCCAGAAAAGAACTGAACTAGATATTTGAGGACCTAGATTCTTGTCTCAAGACTGGATAGCAAACTCCCTGAAGGCAGTATCCTGTCCTGCTCATCATGCTTCTCTCCAGTCTCTGCATATTGGCTGGCACAGAATTTGTGCCCCAAATATACTTGAAAAAGCAAATAGCTAGAAGCAGGATTCTAGCATCTCACCCCCTTCCCAGGGCAAGGATTTCTCACCTGGAAAAGGGATGAGCCTGCCTCTCTATCCATGGGTTGCTGAGAGCATTCACTGAGGTGTTGAAGGGAAAGTGGAAGACGATCACTGTGTCCTCACAGCAGTAGTGTATCCAGAGTGTATCCAGACACTCTTCCAGGAATGCTAACACTTCAGAAGGGCTCCACCCTGAGCAATCATTTCTGCCCTATGGCAACCTCTACTATCTATGAACAAACATAAGACCCCCATCCCAGCAGATAAGATATTGTAGCCTGTGATTACAGGTCTCTGGAATAGCAGCAGAAGGCCACTTTCATAGGAAGTATCATTCGTGATGCAGGTACATTTGACCTGGCATCCAATTTCCAACATGACATATTAGGACATGTATCTCTATGATGAGACAAACCATCTGTTATCCTGTGTGACCACTTCTCTAATTTAGCTCCTAATGCTTTCTGCCTTTATTGTGCTCTCTGCTCCTGTCTCTCTGATGGAGAGGGGAAGCCTAGAGTGGCCTCCCGGCATGTGTGCTTAGAGGAATGGCTACCATAGGGTCTACAGGCTTCCCGCCGATAAAACCTCACACTGACATTTGATGGGAGAAGGTGAAGAGCAAAGAGCATGAGCCAAAGAGCTGGGACCAAGAACAAGAGTGAAGAGATCAAGTGATCAGAATGCCCGGTACACCCAGTAGGTGAATGTGGGAGGAGGTAATAGTGGTGAGAACTGATTAAATAAACACAAAACCAAATAAAAGTTCAGATACAAGATAATGACATACAGTTAATATGTCTCTACTTTCCAGATGTCCAAATCAAGATTCATTTTTGAGAGCAAAAAAAGATAAACTGGTGCCTAAATGTAGATGTCTTGTGAAAACACTTTCTGCAGCGGTGGGGGCTCTGAGGACAAATGCTTCAGCATACAAGGGTCTGGCCAAGCCCAGGGGATAGGAAGCCTCTTGGTCTGGCTGCCTCCCTGTGCAGCACTGAGGAGGGCTTCTAATGTTCTGCTCTATATAAATAGTGCCCCCTGGAGTTGTACTCCTGGCAAAACAACCTGGAAACTGAACCTTAACTTTTCTGGGATACCAGTGACAACAAGATGAAAACAGAATCATCTGAAAAAAGTTTTAGGAGCATAACAAGCCCCTCCTTCCTCCAACAATGAAGCCCCCTCTTCACACAGGTAACTGTACCAAGCCCTGTCCAAAGACATCCACACTTACTCAGAGGCTTCCATTCCTTTGCCCATTGCCCCGCCCCTACTGAAAGGTAGTGTAGAAAGTATACTGGGATCACCAAGCACAGTAAAGGAAGAAAAACTGCCTATACTGACTACATTATCCTGATAGTTTCATTAATTTTCTAATGTGCCTAAGATTCACCTTCAAGAGTTTTAATACCATACATTATAAATAGTTTTTATATTTGGTGAATGAGTGTGAATATAATGGAAAATTAGGTGATTTTTATTTTTGTCAATTGAGCTTTTCAGTGGCTTCCCTGAGTGAAGGGAGAAGATAGGGTTCAAATTAAATAAACCAGACTCAAAATGGATTTCTCTTCTTGTTGTTTTACCGCATCCTTAATTTGCATCACTAAAGAATTTACTAGGAAAGTGCTCAGCAAACTGCAGGCTTCTCTGGTGGCCAAGCTCCAGGAAACAAAGTGCTTTCTTTTAAAACTCCAAGAAAGAGAGACATTCCAAAGTAACCTGCCATGAGATACCAGCAATAGACTCTTAACTCTATAAAAGAAGAAAGGAGGAGAGGAAAGAAAACGCCTAGCACAAATGAGAAAAGACAAAACCTTAAAGAGGAAGGAGAAAGGAAAACATTTAGATTCCTTGAGTGATGGAAATAAATACCAAAGCTATTAGTTTCAGTTCAAAGAACGTATCACTTTATGCTGTTTATTATTTCTTGGGGATTATTTATTTTATCTTAAAATATCCAAAGGGTAAAAGGGGTCCTGGAGGTAAGCAGCAATGAAACTGACCTGGTCCGGAGAGGGCCTGTGATTGGAATGTTGCGACCTCCCAGGAGATCGATGGTGGTGGTGGTGGTGGTGGTGGTGGTAATGGTGATGGTCTTCATCGTAGTTGTCTGCCATCAGCTTCATTCTGTTCTGGGTCTGTGCAGAACAAAAACCAGGAAAGATTCCATCAGGAGCTAGAGGACCAGTCAAAGAGACTCAGGGCATAAGGATAGCACCTCTAGGACTCCCTTTGCTCTTAACCCAGAAGTTATCATTTCTAGTTAAATTAAAACTCAATAAAGAGAACCATGCCATTAAATTGGTGAAGGAGGCTTTTGTCACACCCTCAAAGTTACTATGATACATCTGCAGGTATCAAGGTACTTCCCCCTTGTGACTTAAAAGAGAAAAAAATGGACATATGCTAAGGCACTTGTTTCACATTATCAAGCAATGACAGAGAACCAGAGTAAGCTTGCAATTACAAAGTGCCAACACTCATCCTACACTCCAGAGCAAGCCAGAGAAGGAAGCCTTGATGGAAGAATGGAAAAGGGTGGATGGAGACACAGAGCTACAAACAATGGAGTCACAAGACAAGGCAGGGAAATCCACTCGAAAGCTGCCAAATGTGAAAATACAGATGGAGATGGTTTATTGCTATGATGACTTCTTGGGAAGGGCTCTCTTTGGACATTTTAACTGATATTATCCCTTGAGGGAATTGAGCAAAAGGTTCGAAGTCCATGCAAAAAGGGTTGAGCAGTTTAATTTACACCTCATGAAGTTTGTCACATGAGGCAAGTAGGTATCATAGTTAAACAACCCCCTGTCCCTTGACACTCATAGAATTATATTACTCTGTTAGGCAGGGCAAGAGATGGACCAGAGGGAAGTGACTTCACAGGGCCACAAAAATCTAGAAAAATTCTCAAGGACCATGGGGGGAAAAATAAGTGTTAAAATTACCCAGCCCAGAAAGTCAAGAAATCTGGAGACAGGTCTGCCTGACTTTGCTGATTGTGTTGCATCAAGAAAGTTATCTCAATGCATAAATCTAAATTTCCTTAAGACTAAAATGGGAGTAATCAGTCATCTCTCCTTCAGGTTGCTGTGAGGAGCAAGTGAGATGAAGGGCTTCGAGTGTCAGTCCAGTACCTGATACGTAATGAGCTAACAGTAAAAGCCAAATACCATTACTACCATTATTGCTGGTATTCTTGATTTCTGTATGAAATTTCTCCTTTCTGCATGCTGTTTGCTTTGCCTCTCCTCCCAGTACCTCCCCTGGACCCTTTTTTTCACCCTATGTGTTACTAACTCCTATCATCTTCTCTAGGAATCTTTTTCTTTTTTGGTGCTGGTGATTGAACTAACGTAGGGCTTCACACATGCTAAGCACCTGCTCTACCACTGAGCCACACTCCAGCCCCTGAAGGAGGCTTCTCTTTCCCCCACCCTTTACGCTGGGTGGCACGTGCTTCCTGCTTACCATGGCTCTCTGACCATGGATTTATCTGTCCATCTGCTGTTAGACCTCAAGGCTGTTTCTTTCATCTGCGTCTCCCCACAATCTAGCACAGGGCCGTGCAGAGGCAGATATTCAATGCATGCTGCTATAATGAGTGACTGAAAGAATGGCTTTGAAGGATGCTGCCATCCTAGAGACAAACTGCACGTGTTGTGCAGGGGAGGTCATTGAGAGTTGAGGACACGGCATGAGTTTCCATAACCGTCCTGCTGGAGGCCCCAGATGAAAAGAAGCCATCAGTACCTTGAAAGAGCCAGAAGTCAGATGTTGGCAGGCTCGCCAACTGGTTGGAGTTTTATTATGTAATATGAATAATTCTCTGATAAATAAAGAGAACTCTGGCCCTAACATGGAGCATTTTTACAGTATTTCCCCCTACAACCTAACTTACTCTCAAAACTTTCCTGGGAGGAATTATTAATTATTATCCTCATTTAGCAGCTAAAAAAGTAAGGCATAGGTTTTAGAGTAATTTTCTCACCATGGGACATGGAGATTTTCTGGGTCTTCCAATCTTCAGTCTGTAGGTTTTTTCCCATGCCTTGCTGCTAGCAGAACAGGCAAACAGCTTGACAGGTAGAAATAGCTTTTCCATAAATGATTTGGTTCTGTTAAGTTTTGGAAACACCTCACAACCCAATTCTACCTGCCAAAGGATGTCTCATGATTTATTTGTTCCATCTTTTAAAATGTGTACAATATTTGGAAGGTCCCAGAGTGAATATAAAAAAAAATGCATGTATATGATAAAAACAATAAAAATATAGGGAAAGATCCACTTAAAAATTAAATAAAAAATCCCAGGCAACCTTTGGCAGCTGATAGCATTTCCATCTTTTCCTTGTCCACTTAATGTGTCAGAAGACCCAATGGACAAGTTAGGCCTTGTGAGAAAGAGCAGGGCCATGGAGCTCTTGGGGACCAAGTGCCGAAGATTCCCTTCAGTCCTGCCGCCCTTGAACATGGGATTCTGAAGTTCAATGTTCACACCTAAAATTCCAGTTTTGTCATGGGAGAATGTACTTTTGAACTCACAAACTAATAAATCTGGAATTGCTTCTTCTAAATAAAATTGTGAGAGTCTGAAGGGAGCTGTGAGATCTGCGATGGTCAAGGAGGAAGGGACTAGCCCAGGCATGAATGATGGAGCCCAAATGAACAAATAATAACTCTGCTATTGTAAACATTGTAATGTCCTTATCCTTTGGGGAAGCTCCTGTGATTTCATGAGATTATTTTCTTACCAGCAATAAGCCTAAAGTTCCCTACCTTTGAACTGTATCCCATAAAAGAATGCACAAGCTAAACAAGATGCTATATGCAGTCCTAAATGTGTCCGCTGAAACGAGGTGTTGGAGAGCAGGCATGTCATGGGATAAAGACTGTAAATGAATGATGTCATCTTTCCAATTTGGTGCTGAAATATAAATAAACCATGTTGTTCATGTGAATACCAGATCTGGGGGAAATGTACACAGAGCAATTGTGAACGGAAGAGGCTCCTTTTGATTAGTCTGGGCTGGGAGAGAAGAGTGTGAAACAGAGATGAAAAATGAGGGTTTGGTCTGATACTCTGGACCATTTTTTATTTATCTTGCTTGTAACACATCCCCTAAACTGTGACTGATTTCTTACAGGCTGGTTGCTAGTGTTCTTTCTCTCAAAACAATCTAACCAATCTGGCTCCATTAATTCAAATTGCAATTGGACCTCCTTTTGATTTTTTAAAAATTTTTTCCAATCTGTACTACCTATCTTCATCTCCACCCAATGATATTGGTTTCCTAGCATAGAGAGAATGATCCAGAAGGATAGGAAGTCACAAATAACACTCCCTAGTAGTCAATGGAAGAAAAACTGCAGAAAGTTTTAACAGAGATTAGAACGAAGATATTATCTATAGTTTGACCAGGTGACCCCAGATATAATGGGTCACATCTCTGAAGCCATCAGACTTACATGGGACTGGACAAAGCCTTAAGCACCAGATCTTCAGGAGTGTCCTCACTGAAAACCTAAGAAAACTAGTTGCAAGCTGTAGAGAGACAGTTTCCCACAGCATAGCCCCTGGACGGTAGGGACTCATTTAGCAATTCAAGAAAGTCCACTTTTGCCGGGTGTGGTGGCCACATGCCTATAATCCCAGTAGCTCAAGAGGCTGAGACAGGAGGATCATGAGATCAAAGCCAGCCTCAGCAATGGTGAGGCACTAAGCAACTCAGTAAGACCCTGTCTCTAAATAAAATACAAAATAGGGCTGCAGATGTGGCTCAGTGGTCACTTGCCCCTGAGTTCAATCCCCTGCACAAAAAAGAAAAAAAAAAAAGAAAGCCTACTTTTTCCTTCTTCAGTATCCACCAACCTGCTAACTTGATGCTTTTGCCTTTGGTTATCTCATTTAATCCGGTTTCATTCTCTGTTTCCTCATTCTTCCAGGCACAGGTTTGTGTCTCCAGGGTCTTGACCTCCTAAGGATGCTCCTGCTGCACTCTTGCCTCCCTTCAGATGTGAATGTTTTGCAGCCAGAGTAACATCACATTCTGTGCATTTGGCTCTGCAGAGGCTCCCTGCTGTCCTCAGGAAAAGAGCCCTGTTCCCCAAGTGCTTACAAGTCTCTGGCAGGTGACTGCTATTTCCCTCTCCAGCCCCACCTCTCTCTCTCCTTCCTCCTTCCAGCCTTGAGACAAGTCTGTTCTGCTGTGCCCTTCATCCTCTAGTCCTTAAACCTAAGTTAGACTCATTAGTTCTTCAGGTCTTAGTGTCAACATCATGACCTCTACACACACCTTCCCTGAGCCTACCTCGTGAGGGCTTATGTGATCTTCCATTGCTTCCTAGGGAATCCTTTACCACACCCTCCCCCCCCCCACCACCCTTTGCCTTACAGTGCTTACCTCTGAGAATGGTAAACAATTGCATATTTGCTTGGATTTCTCCACCACCAGGCTGAAAGTCTCTCAAGGGGAGCACTATGCCTGGATTTCCCTTGTACTTGCCACCTGGGGCAGAGCCTGGTGCAAAAGCAGTAAGGAAATGTGTGTCTCAGCAGTGCATGCAGGTAGGAAAAGAAGGAATGCAGAGGGCACCGGTGACTTTGGAATAGAGAGGGAAAACCATACAATGAGAGTCTGTGATGAACCAGTTCAGTATTTAACTCTTGATGTGACAGTTTAACTTTTCCTGTTGGGTATGGTTTTGGTGGCTGTTCTTGGGAGTGGCGAGAGCAGGGTGAAATATGTAGGGCAAGCCAAACTCAGCTTCTTCAAGAAATATTCTATTCCTCAGTAAACTGGATCTGGCGACTTAGTCTTATACTTGCCCACTTGCTCACCTCATTAGGAATAAGGGGAACTGGTGTGCTCTTGGTGCATTTTCATACTATCCCCAGCCTTTGGAAGAGCAGGGGACTTTGGAAGGCTTTTGTTAGGTGCCAAAAGTCAACCATGGAAAACAGAAACTTTATCCATTAACTAAAATTCCTGATAGACAACATCTGTGAAAAGGTGCCAGAGACTGCATCTCTTTTGACATTTCTGAAGACTTTATCCAAGGAGCTCTTGAAACTAAATGAAAATCCTTGATTGACTAGTAATTGGCTCAATAGATTAAGGGCAATATGTAGCTA